AGCTTGTTGTGGCAGCAGCCCATTACAGAGGTGAGCAGTTGTACTGTTAAAGAGAGGAAAAAAATCCCTAAAAACTCTTTTTCCACCTCAAAAAAATATTGCAGTTAATGTGTTCAGGCTGAGCATAAAAACTGTGTCATGTAAAATTGTTCATGAGAACAGCAGCACAGAGGCTGTTCCATGTTGTTACTGCAGTGTCTTCTCGGCTGGATTTTCTTTGTGGTGTTTTTTCCCTCCACCTTTAAAATTGTACTCAAATATGAAGGTAAACAAACAGGGAGAAAATTCAGTTGCTCAGAAAGGAGAATTGTCTAACCATCTATTAAATCCTGTCACCCCAGCTGTCAGGTAGGAGGGGCTCTCCTGCCAGAGAGACTGAAGATCATCTCTGTGCACAATGAGATGAACCTGATCCCAACAGCAAGGTGGTGTAAAATTAATGTTATACCTCAAGGAAAACAATAAATGTCTCAGGTTTGGAGGCCAGTATCAGTTATGGGTTCCTCAGCTGTGCAAAATTTATTTTTACCTGCTCACATTCAAACCAGTATCAGTTTAGTCCATTCTCTGCTCATGATGACATTCCAGCACAAACTGAAACTAAGAAACCCCACAAACATTCAGTCCACACATTGCATTTTTACTAAGTATGTGCTTCAAATGTGCTTATCTATGACATAGACAAGTTTTTATTGTGCCATTGTAAAATTCACTTTTTCAAATTGGTGGTTCTGATTAGCACACAACTGGCATGCAAATATTCCCCTGGCATGTAACTTTTCCTCTCTTTCTTCCTGTCTCTCTTTTTTAATCTGCTGTTGGTCCAAAGAGTGAAAATTGTATTTCTTGATTCCTCTGCATGGTGGTGAACTTTACACTATTTTGCACTTATTTCTGGTTACTAAACCAGAAAATCCCATAAACCCAAAATGAGCCTGAATATTGTTCTGTTAGCATCACACAGTCAGCAGGACAGGTTGTGCACCTCCAGTTACACAGATGATTGGAGGGTTTGTTTGATTTTGGGTTTATTTGGCTAAACATTCTTTAGGTGTCCTTTTATACAACCAATCCTGATGTTCATACAGTTTCTCACAACCTTATTGATTGGTTGATTAATTCTTTTATTCTTTTGTGGGTGAAAACTAGTGGTTTTGCTAATAGCATTTGCCAGAAAGATCTTATTTTATTTTTGCCAGAAAGTGTTTTATTTTAGGTATCATTTTAGGAAAAGTTGATTTAATTTGCTCCATCTTTTCAGCAAATAGGTGCTAGGGAGTAGAAACATAATATTTCTTTGTTCAATTTGCAGAGTGCAAATAGAAGAATAACATATACTGTGTACTTAGTATTTGGGTATTTCATCAATTACAAATATGCTTTTCTGGCATATTTATTAACTTAAAATTATATGATACAGTGTAATGCAACCCATATTGCATAATGCCTGAAATCTGTCACATAACTCACTTCATTTTTTCAACTCCAATATTTTAGTTTATCAGAAAGGAAATGGGGGAACACTGGGAGATGAAAATAAGCAGCTTTTGCCTATTGCTGCATTAGTACAAATGTACCAGAAATTTTTGGAAGCAGCTGGTGCAAAGGGGAAAAAAAAAGAAAGAAAGAAAAAATATCCCTGACTGTGCAGAGAGGATCCAAACCATTTTACTGTCCTTGCTTGGGTAAGAGAAGTTGCTTCTTTATTTAACTATTATTTCTCTTTTCCAAATAAATATGAGCTGCTTCTAAATAGGGTGATGATAGCAGGTGGTCTCTCAAGCAGAAATTATTTTCAAGCTGACAAGTACACTGAGCACAGTATAACTACATGTATTTCAGGAAAACATCATGCACGTCTGTTTAAGGATTCATTAACATGGTATAGATTAAACCCATTGAAGATGGCACAGATTGTTTCATTTTATTACATTCAATTGGATTGGATGTGTGCCATTTGCAAAGAGCAATATTACCACAAAAAAAAAAAAAAAAAAAAAAAAAAAAGAAGTCTGGCACATTTGTCACATAGCATTCCCCTATTGAGAATGAACTGTTTCTGAACATCAAAAGGTAAAAATCTGTTCTTCCCTCACCCTCTGCCATATTAACCACAAGAAAATATGACTGCACATCTTGTTAGGAGGCATTTGAGCAGCACATTTGCTGTGCCCAGAGTTTAGTGTGGTAGGGAGACCTTTGTGTTCTTCATGATGCAGGGATTGGAGTTCACAGCCTGCTGCCTCCCCAGACCTCAGAGCTCGTCCAGCTCTGTCACTCTGGGACATCCCCAGAGCCCTCCCTGGGACATCCCCATCCCCAGAGCCCTCCCTGGGACATCCCTGTCCCCAGAGCCCTCCCTGGGACATCCCTAAAGCCCTCCCTGAGACATCCCCATCCCCAGAGCCCTCCCTGGGACATTCCTGTCCCCAGAGCCCTCCCTGGGACATCCCTAAAGCCCTCCCTGAGACATCCCTGTCCCCACAGCCCTCCCTGGGACATCCCCACAGCCCTCCCTGGGACATCCCCACAGCCCTCCCTGGGACATCCCCAGAGCCCTCCCTGGGACATCCCTGTCCCCAGAGCCCTCCTTGGAATGTCCCTGTCCCCAGAGCCCTCCCTGGGACATCCCCACAGCCCTCCCTGGGACATCCCCACAGCCCTCCCTGGGAAATCCCTGTCCCCAGAGCCCTCCTTGGGACATCCCTGTCCCCAGAGCCCTCCTTGGAATGTCCCTGTCCCCAGAGCCCTCCCTGGGACATCCCCAGAGCCCTCCGTGGGACATCCCCAGAGCCCTCCGTGGGACATCCCTGTCCCCAGAGCCCTCCCTGGGACATCCCCAGAGCCCTCTCTGGGACATCCCCAGAGCCCTCCCTGGGATCAGGGATGGGGTGTGGGAGCAGAGGGGTGGCCCTGTCCCCCTGCAGAGGCAGCACCACTCCCAGATGAGGGGGAGCAGCTGCTATTAAAGAGAGGATGGTCACACAAAGAGTGAGATTTGAATTCACATAATGTTGCTGTTTATAACGTGAATACTTTGGACATCTGCTTAAAGTCTGGTGTTCTGAATGGATGGGAGCCTTCCCAAGGCAGGGCTTAGGAAGCTTTATCTGTTACAGGAGGGCTGCAGATTGTAAAGATATGTCTTAATCAGCTAGAGCTTGGGTCTTCTAGTATTTGAATCAGTAGCAAAGCTCAAAAAACCATGTACATGGCAAATGATGGCATAACCAATGAAAAAATAAATGGATTTAAAAAGTGTGGGTATATTTCCTAAATATACATATGAGAAATACTCCTTTTCATTCCATACCCTTAAAAAGTCCTTTTAGTGTGTGCATGTGTGTGTGTATGGGGAGGAGGGGGAACACAACAAAAGCAAATTTGCTGTCATTGGCTTATATCTAAACATTCTATTTTAAATTGGACAGTAACAGAGTTGCAGCATAGCCAAGGTTGTATTTTCTGCTTCTGCTGGAAGATCCATTTAAAATGTATTTTTATACCATCCCTTTTGCATTAATCAACATTATTTTTCAGAACTCAGCCTCACCTATATTTCTAGTTTATAGTATTATCATTGCTATTTATGCTGGCTTATTTCCCATTGTGTTTGAAGGGGAATTAAATTTTAATTAATGGTTAATTTAGAGGAGGACCATTTAATAAATGTGCTTTTGGAGCTAAAGTCCAGCAGTCAGGATGGAGTAGCTTTTATTGTTGTTATCAGTCGAGGTTACTGATCACTAAAAAATTGACAAGCACTGTAGGTAAGGGGTGATTTGATTCATAGTGTACCTCCAGTGAGATGCATTGAAGAGTTAATTTTTTTTTTGTTTGGTTTTGTTTTGTTTTCTTTTTTTTTTATTTTTGGTGGTGCAGTTGGGACTCAGCTGTTGTTTCCTCTGGGATTAAACAGCTGTCAGCATTGTTAATGACATCAAATTCATGCATTAAAATTCTCTCATTCCTCTCCATATAAAATGGGGATGTGGAAAGCACTGCTATATCCCCCTTTGTGAAGGAATGAAAATCCAAGGGAAGATAACAGCACTTATTACAAAACCACAGACCGGAGCTTCTGTTGATGGAATCTCGTAATGAGTAATTAAGCTACTTTGCAGAAGTCAGCGCTGTCACGTTTGCAATTGGGTATTTCCATTCCCCTGTGGATACAGCTGGGAAAAGACTACTAAGGTGATAAAAAAAGAAAAATAGAATTGTTCTAGAAATATCATCTTCATGAAGCCGGAGGTTTCAATGCAAAGTGGCTATGAAAAATTAGCCTACAGAAATAACCTGTCTGGTGTAAAAGACATTCCTTTAAAAATTCATAACTTCTATCATCTGATAAACAAAAAACAATGAGGTTTTATTATCCTGCAGTCTCACAAGGATATGGCAATGGCAGGTTTATTTCTGGGATGGGGTGTTGGCTTTTCTTTTTTTTTTTTGTTGTTTTTTTTCTTCAGCCTTTTGCTCTATAAAGGAAAGTTTTCAACTCTGAGTGTTCAGTTCTATAGTTCTGAAAACATGTTATGGGAAGCTTGTGGCCTTTCAGGGGAAATTATCTTTTCAGGGGAGAAAAGAATTGAAACAGATTTCTTTTTTTTTTTTTTTTTGCTGTAAAGTTCAAAACACTACTCATGCTTTTAAACTGATATATAATTCTTATGCCCCTAAGAACTCCAATTATTAAAAATAGTCCTGAATTTTCACTAGTTTGAGTGTCCCTATTCTCTTTTCAGTTCTTTTCTATGTTTTTTTATGGTTTGTTAAGCAATTAACTTACTCTTAACTTTCTTCTTTCAAGTAGCTTTGTTTTTTTAGAGGCAAAAAAATTAAGCAGAAAGCATAACTCTCTGAATGTCTTTATCCTTCTTCCAAGAAGTTGCTTTTGTGCAGAAGTACCCTTTTTTTTTTAATATCCCCATATGTCAGCTGTTACAGTGAAATCAAATTAAATTAAGCCCAATGAAGAAACCAGCCTGTTAACAAAATGAATTGATAAAGCAGTCATTTATTGAATTCAGTAAAATGTACTGAAATATATAGGAATAAACCAATTAATTGATTAACCAGCTTCCAGATCAGATGGTGAAATATGACTATCTGATGAGTCAAATTAAATGTGTTAAGAGACTGATAGCAGGAATCTCTAAAACATGCTATGCCTTATTAAAAACTGGTTCTGTGAAAAGCTTAGGAATTTATTGTTTCAAGGCCATGCATTTGGGAAAAACTCCAGTTTATTAGCAGAGCTGTGGTGGGAGGTGAAAGCGCAATTTATTTTGTTTTGTTAAAACATTAACAATGGAATAAGCACCCCATGGTATTAAATAATACACATGAACGTGGTCACTATTGTAAGATGGATTATTGAGCATCCTGGTTTTTAGTGAGATCCCTACATGACTCCCAAATTCAGTCAAGTGTCACACTGGTTGTGTCAAGTACCTTTTTGTAGCTAATTTAATCATGGTTGGGCCAGAAATGGACCTATGGAGCTGTGTAATGTTAATTTATACATCGTTCCTCATCATTACCGAAAATGTGCCCTTCTGGAACTAATGCTCACTAGTTTTATCATTAATGTGCATTAATAATGTGTAAAAATATTTTTCCATTAGCTTATATTTTCAGAAGAGGAAAAAAAAAACCCTACATAAATTGGAAAAATACTCCTATGTGTACCTGAATTGTAAGCAGGCCCTGCAGGTTTGGAGGCGTGTTGTGCTCCAGGAGATGAAGGAGGGAGGCTGTGAGTGACACAGTCCTTTGTGTAATTATCTTGGAAAAGGAAGGGCCTGAAGGGACACTCTGGGAGTGGTGTCAGAAAGAAGTGCTTTAGTTTTGGGAGCAGAGAGCTGATCCTTCATGGTCCCTATAGCTCTCCCTCCAGATGTGCCACAGTGTCATCTTTATAAATCCTGGGTGAGTAAAGACAAGTTGATAGGGTATGGTGGGAAAATGTGATAGTACCATCTACAACCAAGAAACCATAAAGGTTTGTAACCCAGGGGGTGCAGAAGAGGTTGTGTTTCCTTTCCCCAACACAGTTGCCGGTGTTCTCTGTCCAGGTTTTACTGCCTCTCAAAGTTATCAAAGGCATTGTCAGCACAATGGGAACGCTGTCCTGATCCAAGCTTTGGCAGAGGAAGCTGCTTGTGGATGCTGTGGTGCAAACACCCTGTGTAACACAGATTTTGCCTCTCCCTGTGATTAAAATTTTCTGTAAGCTGCTGTCCTTCTTTCAGCAGCACAGATGCTAAAGGTTCTCCATCAAAATGATTTTGAGTCATGACTTGGTGTCCTGGTTTCAGCTAGCACAGTGTTAATTTCATCCCAGTAGCTGTTACAGTGCTATGTTTTGGATTCAGAATGAGACCAACATCTCTGGAAATCATTAAATTTCTTTATAGTCTTGAGGGGAGAGAGAAAATAGAGTCAAATATGTCTTGATTGTCTAAATAGATGAGAAACTTTAGGAAATACTGAGTAGATATTTGCTTCAGCAATAGAAAGACCTAGAACCTGTTCTGCTGTGCAGACAAGTAAAACATGAGCTTTATCCCTAGTCTTTGTGACATATAAGTGATGAGACAGTCTAAGCCTTTTTAAAGTTGTTGGTTTGAAGCCAAAGAAGTGCAAAATGAGTAATTTGGGATTGTGTATGCCATGTCAGGTGTAAGGAAATGATTTCCAAATGCTTTCACATCAAGCCACTAAGCCCACAGGAAAAAGTCTCTAAAAATCACACTTTATCAGACATGCCCTATTAATTAGGGGAATCAGTCTAGGTAAAAAATATTCACAAATACTTGAATAACTGTCAATTATTTTTTCCTCATACTTAGTAGGGACCTACGTGTTGGAGTGCGCCCAATTTGAGTCTGTGTATTTCTTCTCAGTGGATAATATAGTAGTTGCAAATCTTTCATTATCTCAAAGACCTGCATTGCTCTGAAAGATGTATATTTAAAAAGATGCTGGCAGTAACTGCTGCTGACAACCAGCCCTGTTTGAAATAGACTCCCTCCGTGGCACTGTGTGGGGAAGGCTCCGTACATCGATCTATGGATTTTTCATTTGCTTTCAAACAGTCCTGCTCGCGTGTCTGCAAGGAGTGAATAAGCAAAGTTTGAATCAGTTTGACTTTGGAAGCATGATTCTGAGCAATTACCTTGGGAAAATACACCTCCTCCTGACTAAATAGATCTGTCAGGAGGAGCTGGAGTGCGGCGCGCAGCCCTGCCGTACACGTGTGCGCTGGTAAACCGGACCCAGCCAATTAAACATCAAAATGTTGGCTGCATTCAGTTCACAGGGAGACTTATGTAAGTTCATTTTCATAGCGTGCCTATGTGTCTTTAGACTCTAACTGACAGGTTCCCACCGTGAATAGGCTGGGGAGATATCAATTATCTGGTTAGCTGTGCGCTGCCATTCTATGCTCCGTGGCTTTCTGACAGAAGCAGGCAGAAAGCGAGAGAAGCAGAATAATTCTGGTTCAGCAAGGCTGTTAATATTTCAGTCTAGGAACCTCAAATCGTTGTGAATAGATGGGGGAAATGGTCATTTTAAGCCTGACCGCTGCAATTTCTTTTATTAAGAGCGTGTGGAGTGCTAATGAGTATTTCACCCCAAAGCAGGAACCACAGGATACCAAGATTGGGCATTTGGGGGTTCAGTAATTTGTAATCTAATATTAGTTTGAATCATTTACTTCTAATAGCAACAAATAACTTTAATTATTTCAATGTATTTTACACAGCAGTCACGTATACAAATCCATGTGATTTGTTAGAAAATAGCTGTTGTATCCATTGTTTTAAATCGTGTGCCTGCTCCAAGCACAGCCTTGAGTTGTGATATGTGAGCCTGAGTGACTTTTATTGCTGCTGTTTTCCATCCTTGTGAATGTCTATCTGGAAGGGCATTTATGTTCATTAAATGTTTTCCATTCCCAGAGCAGCATGTCATGTACTGCTGCTCCCTGGCCATCACTGAGGTGGTGCTGTGCTCCTCACAAGGAACCCACATCCAATCTTGTCAGGGTGGCCATCACAGCCATTACACTTGTTAAGCAAACTAGGCAAGGACTCAGAGCACCAATTTCTAATGGACAGTTCCTGTATCTGTCACATCATCTTTCCTCTCACTGTGGGCAACCCTTAGAATTCAAGGAAGATCAGTAAATAAGCCAAGTTTGAGCAGACTGCTGCTGCACAGAGGGGTAATGAGAAGGTTTGGAATGAAATGTCTGTGGATTCCTTTTGCACAGTGCCCTGTCTTCAGTCAGGTCCCTCTGAAATGCTTAAAGACTCCTTGTTTTTTAACAGACAGATTGCAATTTGGTTTTCTTGGTGGACTTGTGAATGCACATAAATAGATTTATTTCCGTTTTCAGCTTTTTTTTTTCCTATAGCTTTTTTGCTATCTGTTTGGGCATTTTTTTTTTAGCTGAGAGTAAAATCAGCCTAGCTATCAAGCTTATGGGGTGAAAAACTGTAGGTTAGGCAAATTCCAAGATTTACAGCAATTCTTCTGTACTTTGTTGTTAGAACACTTTATGCCATTATGGGTGTAGGAATGAACATATAACATAACATATAACAGCATATAACATATAATAAGGCTTGATACAATCCTTGTAGAGGCTGGAGTGTTAACAACTGCCTTGTGTATCTCAGATTAAAGATTGTTCAGGTTTTTAGTTTTCCATATCACAATGTTTAGGATTCCCTACTTTTTTGAGGAATCCCATGGCTTCTTTAACTTGCACAACTCACAGCTGATAATGAGAGCAAGGGGGAATAAGTCTTTGGCTTCACAGCCCTCCATCTGGAGACCAATAAATAGGCTGGATAAACCACAGCACCTCACATATCTTTAGTTTATGCAAGACCTTTCCTCTCAATAAGAGGCACATCTCCCAAGAGCCACCCAATGAAAGACTTGCTCGCCACCCATTTGCTCAGGACTTTTTCTCTCCTTCCTCCTCTTCCTAATTTCTTAATATAAATGCACATTTTCCCCTCTTTTGGGGGGTGGGGGGGAGAAGCAATGTAACTTTTGTAGGAGAGCGCTGTGTGTTCAAATGGCACATTTTCCAGGCGTTCCATTTGATAATTTCCCCGAGATACCGGAGTTCCCTCCCAGCAATGAGTTAAGGTGACAAAGGAGCCGGGTTTGTTTGCAGGAAGCGAAGGATAACGGCGCCTAAACTTTACCATTGGTGGCGGAGGGAGGCACGGAAAATTGCTTTTTATAATTAAAAAGGGAATCTCAGATGTTTTATATCTTGAATATTTACAATAAAACCTTCAAGTGCTTGTCAAGAGGGTAATGTGTCATTAGCAGGAGCCTTTGCCTCTCTTCTCCTCTCGGACATGACAGTGCAGCAGGATAAGAGAAGAGTAATTATAGTTCAGCAGGGCTGCCAGGTGTGATAAATGGGTAATCAGCACACAGGAGCCCCGGTCCTCAAAGGAGGACTATTACAGCGTTATCAGCGTGTGCGGCAGCGTCGCGCCAGCCCGAGCCGGGCCCGGGGCTGCTCAATGCGGCTGCGGCTGCCAGCGCTGCCCGCTCCGGCCCCAGCTCCTCCTTTGTGCGCCCGCCACCGCCGCGGGAGCCGCATCAAAGGCGGCTGCGGAGCTCCTCGCCTTCGCTTTCTGCTAATATTTACACAAAACTGCCCCGCTCTCCAGGTGAGGCGGCGCGTCCCGAGGAGATGCGGGAGCCGCGCTCCGCTCCGCGCTGCTTTATCCATCCGTCCATCCATCCATCCATCCATCCCCGTTCGCGGGGTTTGACCTCGGTGCGTGATTCTCCTGCTGCCCCTCCGGGTTTGGCTCCGCCGCGCTGGGGCAGAGCGCTCTCTCACCAACAAACTTGGAGATAATCAGCTGCCTGGCAATCCTGAGCTCTCCTCAGTGCTCTGTCCGTGTCCGCCCCCCGCGCTGCTCATTTATCTGTTTGTATTGCACATCACAATTGAGTAAATTTGGTTCAAATTAATCAAAACCCCATCCAACCAATAAGCGCAACATTGATCCCCTTCCACTTCTTTATTTCCAGTTCAGTGCTACCAATGGCAGCATCGCAATAGGAATGTTTTTAAATAATTCTTAAAAATAATTCTTTGTGAAAAAGTGAAGATGCTGTGGCTGTAATAAATTGTTGTTAAGGGAAAGGACATAACGTGCCTTGGAAAAAGTGGAGGGCCAACACTTCTGATGCAAGGTTATTTTTACAATACTTGCATTTTTATCGGTTGATGTATTTTAACTGGAGCCCTGACAATAGTCACAAAAAATTATTACTCTGGCATGGAGCTACTTATCTGACAAATGCAATGCGAATGGTCTTGTTCTTATCAATGAGATCAGATTTCAAAAAAAATGAGTACGAGGAATGAGGCGTTGCTTTGTGAACAGATAACCTTGCAGGCAAACTCACAAACCTGAATAAAAGGATGTCTCTATGAAATAATCTGTGCATAAGTGCAATCAGGTCAGACTGTAATAGACAGCGAGGGGGGTGGAATCAAAAGGGGGAAAAACTCATTTCATCACAGTTAATGGCAAGGAAAAGAAGGCAAGGAAGGACTTTCTTTGGAGCGGAGCTGTTGCGACAAAGACCAGGGCTTCAGCGTGTCATGCACCATTTGCTGGTGCACTAGCGCTCTTTTCAAGAGCTGTGAAGCCATTATTGTAATGTGAAAAAAGTAGAAAGAAATACTCCCTCCTGGTCACTGGAAGGGCAAATGAGGTGCAGGCTTTTCTTTTTTTTTTTCCTTTTTTTTCTCTTCCTTGTTTTTTTTTTTTTTTTTTTTTTTTTTTTCCCCTGCACTGTTTGTGCAGGGAGGTTTCTAGATTCCCCCTGGTAAAGCTCCACTGGGATGCAGGAAAGATCACAGTGCCCTTATAAACAACACTTCTTGGCACTGTTTACCTTCTTTTGTGACTTTGTTGCGTGTGAAGGAGGATAGGAGTATCAGAGGTCCAATTGCAATGAACATTTTCCCTTTTGTCTTTGAAGGAGCAGAACCTTAGCATATTCTCTAGCTGGTTTCACAGAGCATTTCTGTGGTTTAGGTTTTAAATAAAAAAAAAATCTCAGTACATTCCTCAGTACATCTCAGTACATTCCTGTATGGTAAAGTTATCTAGTGGTGATAATAAATCCAATATTCTGCGGATTTTGTGTGTTTTATTAAAAAGAGAAGAGAAAGAATCCTTTGTTCATTGGCATAATGCAATCCTGTCTCTGAACAGTTCTAATTTGCAAACCAAGTACTTTGTAAATTGTGGAAACCTGGTTATAACTTGAAGGCTGAATAAAATGGGTCATCTTATAACTGAAAGATAAATATAGATGTAAAATAGTGCCACCAATGTCTTTTAAGCAAGAAAAAATAAATAAATAATAGGTTTCAGAACTGCCTTGTTCTTGTATAGTTTATGGGTAGAGCAAGATTACACATACAGCCCTGCAGCCGATTCCCAGGACTGCTAAAGTGTGAAGAACAGGAGTGACATTCTAGTCTTCAATAAATCACTATAAAAATGTTTATGAACCCTGCAATTTACTGTCTTTTAAATGCAAATTGAAAGGGGCATCGTCACAAGTGTAAAGGAGACCTGCAGTGGCCTAAAGGAATTATAAAATGTTGCAAAAGGCTTCTGAAATTGTGTGATCTTAAATGGTTCTATTTTAAAAAATGATTTCCCATTTATACTTCTGTGACAGCTTTGTTAATTTATTAAAGAGATCTCTGTGAGTTGCAGGGAGGTGTTTATGAGCACTGTGCTTCACAGGAGCTGTTCACAGGGGCTCTCAAGGAGCTGCAGTTTAATTTGGCAGGCACTGGGGGCAAGTTTACCGCTCACCTACAACTAACAGGGGTTCAGAAATGTACAAAGCAGTGGTCTTGTCTGACAGATTACTGGTAAAGTAGAAAACATTTCCTTCCTCTTCCCAGCTCTTCCATACAGTCATTTATTGTGAAACAACTAAATAGCAAAAACGTGCTGGATGAACAGATCAGCATCCCTCAGATGGATGGGAGACACTTGAGGATGTGGCTTAGGGGTGTACATGGTGATGGTACTGGCTTGATGACTGGATTTGATGACGTTAAAAGGCTTTTCCAACCTTATTGACTCTACGATTCTAAGTCCAAACTGAGAGAAGAGCGAATCATCTTTCTGTGCTGTAGCTTTGCTTTCTCCAATGGAAATGAACTCATTTCCATTTATACATTTATCATTTTATCTAAATGATAAAATAAAATAAAGAAAATAAAATCTGGTATTTGTGGAAGCAGATTTAATTCCTATAAATTAGGCATTATGGAAGGAGTTTTCATCACTTGGATTTTGGTTGCTTTCTTCTTTTGTTCCACTGCTTGGTAAATTTTTAGAGTGTCTTTTTTTTCCTGGTTTTTTTTTTGGCTGAGAGCCATGATTTTCTGCACTTGGGTGATGTAATTGACACCAAACCTGATTTTTTTTTTTTTTAAGTATTCCTTGAGACAGTATGGGATATGAATGTGTGCAGTTGGAACTCTGTACTTGTTTGCATAGCTTAGAATTCTCCACAGCCTACTTCATCACTTCTGTCTAATTTAATGACAAATAACCACAATGGACTCACATGATATTCATGCTGTGTATGAGAAAGATGTAAATGTATCTGGCAGTGGATGATGCTACTCCTGGTTTTCATATCCTTGTACTCCTTAAGAAAACAGGCGTGGGTATCTGATTTCTGGCAACCCTTGAGTTAAATATGCTGCTTTGGCACTGACTGATTTTTTAGCTGTCAGAAATGGTTGGAGAATGGGCTGTCAGGATCCAAAGCCTGTAGAACATCTGCTTGTCTGGCCTGGGCAGCTTCTCAGCATACACATGGTAGAGGATCTTTGGAAACAAAACTATGTAAATAAATTAATTTGGAGGGTGTATCTTCATGACTCTACCCATGGAAAAATGATATTGCTTGGCTCTATCACATTGCAGACTTTCTAACCCCTAAATGGAGCAGTAATAGTTTACAACTCAATAGCACTGAATGTACTGCTGTTCATTTTGTTGTCATGCAAAACTGCTGAAGCACTATGCCTCTTCCTGCAGCCCTGTGCCTGCCTGGATATTGTCTTTGTAGCAGAGTTTAATATGTAGGCATCTGCTTGTCAGGATTAAAAGTGTTGTAATCCAGTGTTTTCAGAAACATGACCTCCTTTGCTGTTTCAGACCTGCTTGAGCCACGGGCTCACAGCAACCAGGACCTTGTCTGGAGTCATTCTGACCCACAGCCAGCCCCCTGTGTGTCCTGGTGACCAAAATTTCTCCTCCTGTGTCTGTAAAATATTTCATGCTCATTTTCATCAGGCACTATCAGTTCGTGGTTTAGAGCAGGCTTTGGGAGAGCTGGGCTCCTCCCCAGGAAAATGACTCAGCTCCCCACCTTTGCATAATTGCTAATACCCCCATTATCAGTGCTGTCCTGGCAGCACTGGAGACATTTAGGAACTGTACTATGCACCCATAATCCCACAAGCCTGAAACTTATGCAAAGCCCTCGGAAATCACATCTGTGTTCCTTCAACACTGGGGAGGATCAAAGACTCACCTGTGCACAAAGACTCTCAGCAGCACTGGATCAGTGGCTTGTCACTGTCTGTGCAGCTGCAGGCACAGGGAGAGCCAAACGGGACAGGGATTTGCTAACAGGAGCATTAACGTGGACCTGCTAAATTCTCTGTCTAGGATAAGACCTCGTTTCTGCATTTTAAGTGAAAGTAATGTGCTGCTCATCAGTGAAGGGAGAGGAATGGTGCATCTCTGGTGGTGGCTGAAGGCAAGGGCAGATGAAGGCTTGCCAAGACGTGGCTGGGTTTGGCATGTGGTAGTGCAGCCTGGAAGGGTGGCAATGCTTATGCACAACAGCTAGGTTTGGTTTTCAGGTTTATAACACACATGGAGCAGGGCAGAAGATTTTACATTGTGAGTTCATGAGTTGAGTCAATTGCCTGATGTGTTGTCCCACCATAAGAGTGCAGAAAATGATCCATTTTTACTGGAGGTGGGAAATGCTTCCTTTGTTCATCTATTCTAAAAGTGTGTTTCATGACTGTGATTCAGAGCTATCCAACATGGTTTCTTTCAGAATCTATTACTCCAGTTTTACCAATACCTTGTGTGCTTCCAGGTGGAGGGAATCCAGGAAGCTGCATCTGGCCTCTCAAGTGAGAAGATGCTCTAATCACTTGTACATATCACTTATGTCCTGTAAATAAGACTAGTTGCTAGCTGAGCACTGACAGAAGACTGGAGGTCTGTTAAAAGTCTCATGCCCAGAAACCAAACAGAAGGAAGATTCAGAGCACAGGCTGTCCTGTTTCCTCTCATTCTCCCCCTAAGATGAGCAAAGGTTGCTAAAACAGTGCTGATAATGAGGTTTGACCCTCTCATTACCCTCAATCTCTGCCTACAAACCATCTGCACTGAAAATTCCTGAACTCCACCCAAGGGGTTTGAACTTGGAAACTGTTAACCTTCCAAATATGATGTAGTTTCTGGCATTATTTGCTCCCTAGCCCTTATAATACTCTGATATTTAATGTACAATGGCATTCAGTCTCAAGCACATCAATCTACCAGCACCAAGTCATCCTTCCTTCCTTCTGGATTCCTGTTTCCCTTCCTTCCCTGGCTGCCCAGGGGTAGCAGCAAGCTGTCCCCAGTGCATTTATGGGTGGGCTCTGCTTTGCCAGTGTTGAGCATTAGATTGAAACTACACTTCTATTTGCTGTCTGTGGATGTGTGTGAGTTCCTGGCTCTCATCAGGATAGGGATTTGCCCCTCTGTCCTTGGGCAGGATTTTCCCTCCTGCTATAAATTTGCAGAGTCCTGTGTGTCATTTCCCCCCTGGCTGCCACCCTGTGCCTCATAAGTGATTGTACTCCAGTGGGGAAGTGATTTGTATGTATATTTTTATAAAACACTTTGGGATCCTTGGGGAAGAAAGTTGTTATATAAATGTATTTCCCAGGGGAAAGTAGTGGAAATCTCATTACTTGGAACATACAGCGTATTTAAAAGTCGGTTTGACAAAACACTAGAAAATAAAGGAAAAAATCCTGAACTGGCACTGGGATGGTCTAAATGCTCTAGCAGATATTTTCCATCTCTGAAGTTTGTCTCATGATTTTATTTAGTGCATTGGAAAAAGGGCATGAGGAACGCTAAAGCCATGCACATATAAAATATTTTTCAGGAACACTGTGGCTTATTTTAATATAACCTTTAGCAAAATACTGTGGTTTGCTTACTTGCTGATTTATTTTAGGTAGTTCAAAATATTTCTATTAGTGATCTCTTTGAAATACTTTAGGTGGTGCAATGGATTTGTAGCAAAACACAGCATGTAACTTGAGTGTACTCTCTGAAGCCAGGTATCTGGTGCCAAGCAAAATTTGTATGTGTAGCTTCTGTTTTAAGCAATTATATGGTGTGTAATACACTGTAGAGAAATTAAGTGGAAGTATATTTTGCCCTAAGGGAATTCTGTAGCTGTTGGATTCCTTTTAAACAAGTTTTGCCCCTCATACAGTGAGGTTCCTGTAATAAATCACTTATGTAATCATCTACGGTATATTAACAAAAATGACAAAAAAACCCAGACAAACCAAAAAAAAAAAAAAAAGGCAAAAAAAGAAAGAAAGGAGATGTCAACTGGAAACAAATGGTAAAGTAAAGGTTTGCTATAGCACACTCACCTGTTTGGAGGGAAGTGGTTAAACAGGAGCTGAGGAGGCTGCTCTGAGGCTGGACGCAGTGCAATGACTTCACTGCAGTAAACTGCTTATGTAATAAACTGCATGGATGTCACTGGAGAGTAACCAAACCCATCCATCTGAGCTGCTCCTCAGCCCACTTAAATTAATAGTGATCTTCTCTCTGAAGGGAAAAAATTGAGAAAATACATCAAGAAAAGCCATGCAGAGATGTTATGAAATAAAACTAGTGAGGTCATTAAAGAGAAGCCTTTCTTCAGCATGGAGAAAGGCTGGAGTTGTGATACTTCAGCCTTCAGAAGCTGCTTATCAGTCTTCAGCCAAGTTATTCTAGCTGCTATTTACTGGTTAAATAGGAAGTGTGCAGTGAGTAAGGGTCTCACCTAATTGATGTATAAATTGGTCAAATGGTTTTCAAGACCATTCATTTTTAAGAAGTCTTGTTTTGGCTGCCATAGCTAAGATATAGTTTTGTATTCCTTTATAAGATACAGAAAAATGACAGCTACAAGCAATCAAGCTGCATTGCTGTGCAGTATGTCAGCTCCTTTCAGCAGACCTGATTTCCAGAATAACCTTTTTCCCCAGACATTTGTTTTCCTTTGATTCCAGTGATGAGACCCAAAGGGATTTCATGCAGAATGGTTGTGAAATCCAGCTTTGAGAAGCCATAGAAAGGGAGAAAGAGTGGCAAATCTCAGAAACAAATTAAATTAAAATGCAAATTCCAACTGATCATTTGAAAACTCTTTTAAGAATTGGTAGCAAATTTTTAAAGAAGAATTCAACAGTTAGGAGAACACGGTGATTTCCAGTAGTGCCTTTTGTATATATCAGATAATTTACTACTTGTTCATAAATGTCCACTTTTTCCACTCCATCACCAAATTTCTGTTCATGCCCAATATGCAGAAGGATAATTTACCACTTGCAGGATATCTTACAAGATGTCAGCCTTGTTCACAAATAGGTTCTTCCTTGTTCCCTTGCTCTTCATGGCCACTTATTTGTCATGTGAGATTTAGAGAGTGTCTAATCTCATCTTTCACCCTTATTTCCCTACTTAAACAAAAAAAATAAACAAACAACTCCCCCCCAAAAAGCTTAAACCAGTCAACCAACAAAAAAACCTCCAAACTAAATAAATACTATTTAAAACTATTTAAATATTTGTGAACATTTACATACATTTGTAAAACACTTCCAGATTCTGTGCTGGCAAAACCCCACCAGTGAGGAGTCAGCTGCCCAGTTACAGGTTTTGTAATAGTTGGCGCTTGCTCTGTGAAATAAAAATTGGGTATAACATGGGATCAGCCTTAAAATTATAGTCTCTGGTTTGTTCCCATGCTCACTGAGCACCTGGGAGCTCAGTCCTTCCCACAACTGGTTGTTTCCCAGCAGGGACTCCCTCTACTCCTCCTCCTTTTCCTTCTGTAATCTCAGGCAGCCTTCCTCTCATTCATCTCTTTTATGCTGGAAAAAATATGCAATAAAAGGAGAGAAAATGTTGATCTCCACAGATCTCAGTAGATGTGTTCAAGAAGATTTAAAGAAGCTTTTCAGTGGTATGCTTTAAGGATATGTTTGGGGTTTTTTTGTCAGAGCTTATTGCTTTTAGACCTTTATTTTTTTATTTTTTGTGCTCTAAACAGACAGATTGCTTACTTCTTTATATGTTTACTGGGGCTCAAATTGCTACTTTTAGTGTTTTAGAGAAGTGCTAGCGATAAGGTGTATGTTTTTAGTTGTAGTCTCCTCTTGTTCTCATCATTTTGGTTTGAGTCATTCTGATTTTTTTTGTAACAGATGGTTTGGATGTGGTCATTATTTTCTGTAGTCAGTTCTTTTTCTCCAGTGTTCTTAGTTGAAAAATTCATATTTGTAGTATGAGGTACAAGTGACACTTGATGATGAGTACAGAAGAGGCTCAGGGATTTTTTAAGCACTCGAGTGAGAAGGTAAACTTGCAGAGAAGTATTGAATTTAGTGGTCATAAAACAAAACAAAACACTTGCATAATTTAGATACTCACTTGCATACATTTAGATACTCAGTGCATGCTCCAAATTTGCATCATTTGTGTACTACAAATACAGTGTGCAAAATCATTTTAATGTAGAATTTAATCTCTGTGTTTTCTGGTTTCTGTGGAGTATATCTGGTATCATCTGCTCCTCTTTTTGCTCTGTTGCAGCAGACACTGATGGCTTGGCAGTAAAATAGCATCTTAGACAAACTGTCTCTTTCAAAAAGTGTTTCTTGAAGATCGTAAAAATTTAAGTAAAAACAAATCTGTGAGAGATACTATTCATTTAGCTGTCTTTTCCCTCTGATCTTTTTCATAACCTGTGCTTCCCTACACCAAAGGCAGTTTTTTATTAAGGGTATGGTCTGTGTCCCAAGCTATGCTGCATTGCCCTTGCCCTCTTCTATTGTTTACTCATGTATTGTGTAGAGAATATGAAGACCATTTTCAGATTATTTTAACAAAAAGAAAGAACACTTGGAATCTGTAGCACCCATGCAATTCAGTAAGGACAAGGAAAACTGGAGGGTACCTGTGCAAGCCTCCATGCTGAGAGATGAACACACAGGGTAAATCTGGTGCTGCAGGTGGGTCTCACACTCACACTCATCCTTGGATCATTTAATGAGCAAAGAGTGTTTGTCTGGAACACAAAATGCAAATCTTCCTCATGCTGAAAGGAAATTCACGTTCCCCACAACTAAGGTGAACTACTGTGGATGAGAACATCTTTATTTTATTTCCGGGAAGTCCCTTTCCAATACCCAAACATCACTGTTCAGTTTTTGAGGTTTCAGTAATAAGCTGTATTATGAAACAGGGAACAAAACAATTGGTAGATCCTACTTTGTTTGAGTCAGGAAGAGAAGGTTTGGAATATCATTGCCTTTCCCTTGGAAGACATTTCAGCTGCCTTCCCCCTTTGCCCTCCACTCTGTAAAACTCAATCCCCTGTGAGAAATTCAAAGCTGTGAGCATGGCAAGGACATTGTGGAGCCCAGGCAGCACATTTGCATATTCTCATAACCATAAACATGTATTTTTTCCATTTGTGCTGTGATGTTCTCCATTCACATTCTAAGTGGCAAAAGCTTTTATCTGTGATTGGGCCCAGTCCTCAGTGGACAAGAACTGAGTGTATCACATGGCATTTATTAATCTCAAAAAGTTGTCTTTCAAGACATGTCTAAAAACATATGGGAGTTATGTGAAGCAAAGCAATTGCAAGTTCATTTGTTATTTCAACAAGCTCATTTCTTATGATTTCAGTTGTATAATAGATGGGGAGCTGTTTGCAGGTTCTTTGTTGTCATATATTTTCCATTTGGTTCCTTGGGTTAAGGAAGTGAAAGGCTGAACAGAGGAGTGGCTGGTGTTACACCATCTGTGGGGTTTTTGCCTTCCCTTCTCCTGAAATTCTTTTCAGGCTTTCATTTAGAGGCTGTGAGTCCTGCAGGACTGGGGATGCAGCCATCACCTGATGTGGTGCTCTTGCCATTTGGGGTCCCAGGCTGGAAAATTCTGTGTATATCTCTGTATTTGGTGTATTTCTGTCTGGGCAATCATTTGTTGGGTTTGTGCATCACTGGGCCATGTCCAGCATGAGAGATTTTCAGCATCTTCCTCAGTAATCCTTTACTTGCAATTGCCCTATGATGGCTCATTGTGTTAGTTACTCCTACAATGGATTTATGAAGTATTATTGGTGCACAAGAAGATATTTATTCTACAACAGTGGAATAAAAGCATTTCTCCAAAGCCTATTGTCTCATATCAGTTCTCCCTAGGGAGGGAAGATACATCACATGTTTGCTGCCTGTCACTTTTAGTTTTGGTTTTGTTTTGTACTTTTTGTTTATGCGCTATCAACAACCTTTTCCACGTTGAACAGAATGAGTAATTTTGTGAGTTATGGTTTGTATGGACTCCTTTCCTACCTACAACAAAATGTTCCTGCCTGATGAGAGGGATCCTCTTCCTAATCATGAGTGTCACGAAGAAAAAAATGGATGTTATTTTTACAAAAATCAGAGATATGATTGGCTTGGTAGCTGTTTACAGGATGACAACACTATTACAGACCTTTGAGATCTGTAAGTACCAGGCACCAGAAGCTTGGCCCAGAAGAAAGCATTTGACCTTCATGATGTATGTACCTAGTGATGATTTGGCCATGGCAAAGCCATATTTTCATGTAATCTTTATCTATATGACCACAAAGAAGTGGTACAGAGATATTCAGTACATATATTTTAACCTTATAATCCTTTTCTCATTGCTGCCATTAACTTTAATTTAAAATAATGCAGGTCAATATGATGGATTGAGCAGCTTATTAATTATATTCTTTGCATCAGGAAAGAACTTGGGAGGTCAGGCTTTTTAAATGGGTAGAGAATGAGAGGAACTCACCTGGGGCTGGTTCTGAAATGGGATTTTAGTGGGCTGTGTGTTGGTAGAAAGGGGTGCAGGGAAGAAATGAGTTTTCTGCATTTGGCATTTCATTGCCTTCCACCAGAGCTGGTGGAGTGTGTGGCACATCCATGAGCCCCACAATACTCCAAGTGTTAGGAATGGTGACACTTGCTCCTCCAGCGTCTGTAATAATTGCAGAATCATCTCACAGCAGCCCTATGGGTTGAAGTGGAACTGAATGCATTTTTTTGCCTTTCCCAAAGACATTCTGTTTAGCTGGATTTTGTGTAGGAGGGATGTAATTATCACCTCATCTGTGAATCTGCTCCGGACTATTTTTACTTTTTCAGTTGTGTCTCTCAGAAAAATGAGAATAGGATAAAATGGTAAGTTAACAGCTTATATCCTGGTTTATAGGGGTTGAATTTTTGGTAAATGTTTCTGATTTAGGTTTTTTTTTAGTGCAAGGAAGAGTGCCAGGCATCATTCTTGTCTGACATGCTTTGCTGTAGGCAGTGAAGTTGAGCTGACAGTTCAGTGGATTTTGTTAAGAATACCTGGTCAGAAATACCTATTGCATGGTCTATGATGGCTCCTTTTAAAATATGAAAAAAGCAGCTTGATATATCATATTCTCACCAGCTCATCTGACATGCCATTGTGTTGACTTTGCTGGGAGATATCCCATGTTTCATCCCCTTGCAGCCTTCAGAGCCATGTTTGAGGCAGCTCAGATGTTTCACTGCCTTTTTATTTC